AGGAATGTTCGGTCACGGGGAGGTGAGAGCTACAGTCAGTAGCCTGGTATTGAGATAGAGGTGACAGCAGGAGCTCTGGCCTGACTTGGGGGGAATCATGTCTTTTGGATCCATTTTCTGCTCCCACGTGACTGGCAGAGCAGTTTAGAGCGGGCAGAGCCAGTGTCGAGGCAGAGTTCTTGATGGGGATGAGGATCACTGACTCACCCTGTCCCCATTTATGAAGGTAACAATATTTAAATCTTGAATCTTGCATGACACCAGATGTATTGACAAGAGAACACCGCTGCTATGTCAAGTCTGCTCCTAGAAGAAAGCCAGTCTTGGTTTTCTTTCCTGCTCCCTGAAGTGTACTTGTTTTTCTTTTTGGTATTTTGTTAATCTTTGAACTTTGAATTGTTAAAAAGATCACAAGATTAGCTTTCTTTGAAAAAGACTCCCTATAGCTTTGTTTAGGTTGGTCAGTTGGTCTCTTTCCCACGGAGTCCTTTCCGGGCCAGCCTTCCTTGGCCAAGTGTTCCTTTCCAGGGGTTCTGCAGACCCTTGGAGTAATGCATTCAGCACTGGCAGCTTCTGAAGGTTGAAGCAAGAAATGAGTAACACCTTGAGGTAATGAGTGAGCCCTGCCAACCACTGGGCACCCTGATGACTTCACTGCCCTCTCCGACTCTGTGTTCAGAAACCACTTATGCCGGGAACCAGCAGTTAGCGTAATGGCTATGTCGCAGAACTCCCACGTAGTCGACCACGGTTCGCGTCCAGGACCCGGTGGCTTAAAACTCAAGCTGGGTGCGTGTGCGTGCGTGCCCAAGATTCCGAGAGGAGAATGGAGGAGAAGGGATTGCGGCGTGACCATCCCCCCCGGGGGGTGATTTCTTGCTTTCTGTCTCTATGTCTCTCTCTGTCTGTCTGGCGAGTGCACGCGCCCTATAGCGAAAAAACTCTCAAAAAAAAAAATTAAAAAAAAAAAGAAACCACTTATGCCAAAGGGCTGGGCAGGTTATTCCATTTTCCACTTGGACTTTACCAGATGGTTTTTGGTTTCGATTTTTTTTTTTTTTGAGAGATTTTCACTGTAGGGCGCGTGCGCTCGCCAGATAGACAGAGAGAGACATAGAGACAGAAAGCGAGAAATCACCCCCCAGGGGGAATGGTCATGCCGCAATCCCTTCTCCTCCATTCTCCTCTCGGGATCTTGGGCACGCACGCACACACGCCCGGCGTGAGTTTTAAGCCACCGGGTCCGGGACGCGAACCGCGGTCGACTACGTGGGAGTCCAGCGACATAGCCATTACGCTAACTGCTGGTTCCCTGTTTTTGATTTGTTTTGAGATTTTTGCTGTAGGCTATGTGCACTCACCGGAGAGATAGACAGAAAGTGAGAACTCACTCTCCAGAGGGGATGGCCATGCCTCAGTCCCTTTTCTTCTATTCTCTTCTAGGGATTTTGGGCATGTATGCACATGTGCCCAGTGTGAGTTTTAAGCTGATCATTCAGGACTCAAACCATGGTCAACCTCGTGGGAGTCCAGCACCTTAACCACCATACCATCCGCTAGTCCTGTCAAATGGTTTTAACACTGGGCCCTCACGTGTCTTTGGCCAGAGTTTATCTTTTCAGGTGCAGTGCCCATGTCACTCTCTCTCCACTTCATCTCCCATGTCCTCTGCACCTTCCTTCTCACCGTGGCAGACATCACTAATCAATCGATCACGCCCGTTTCCTGTTGAGCCCAAAGCCCTCAGGATCTTTCTTTATATGCCAGGCAGCTAGATGGCAGTTGGTACAACGAGGGAACTAAAAAAGTTCTTTCAGGGTCCACAGTTGAGAGGGGATGTGGCAATGCTGAGATGATTGGTAGCCAGATTTGTGACATTATTGGCTAACAATGAAAAAAAAACAACCTGGAGGGTCTTGCCTAGGATCACTTTTTGCTTTTTACCCTAAAGACATAGAAACCTCCACAAGCTCTATCAGATACATCCCTGTCATTTTATAAAAGAAATGATAAACCTTTTTTGGTGTCCCCCTCAAATAAGAATGACATAATTTAGAATAAAGGAAAGTCATTTAAATTAAGAGAAGTTGTAGCTGTAGAAAAAGTTTAGTGTTTTATTTTTCTTCTTATTATTTTTGCTTCTTCCCTCACATAGGTTACAATTTCTCTTGAGGTTTGTACCGTGGTCTTATTCTAAATACCCCACAAAATAATTTTCT